TAATAATACTAGAATTTTTCCGTATTGATGTTTTTTGCACTTGTTTTTGTTTAAGCGTAAGATGATTTTTAAGTGTTTGTTAAAATTGGATAACACCCAATAAGTTCCATACTTTCGTTTAGTATCGGTAATTTGTAGGAACATGGAACATAGCGGATATTTTATTTTTGCAGAGTTAGAATCAGCTTCACTGACATTGATTATTATTCCCTTTGTACTTGACAAAATGAATATATTACCCCTGAGTTAGGTTCCTTTATTGTAATTTGTTATGAGGCCATTTAGATAATTGCTTATGTTTTTTAAAGGCACGCTTTTAACTGATTTTCATTATCTCTTATATATTTTGTAAAATTTAAACTCACTTTGTGATGGATTATAGTCGTCAATAGTATAAAGAAGATAGAATTCGATTCATAAGAATACTAAAAATAATTAGAATTCAGATGTTGTACCTATTCACTGTACCTAAATAAGATTGGAAATAACTTGTACTGCAGAGTACTACATAGATACTGCATAGTACTGCATACGTACTGCATAATACTGCATATATACTGCATATATACTGCATGATACTGCATATGTCCTGCATAGTACTGCATAATACTGCACACACGTACTGTAGAAAAAGCGTATAGTACTTCATAGAGTGGTTAACCCCTCGCGATTAGCTTTCTTAGTAAATTTTCCCAAAACCAAGACAAAAACAACTCGAAAATTTTTAATCACCGATAATTTTTAAAGAATATGTAAAAAATACATCAGTAATAATCCAACACTAGTATTTTTAAACTATAAGAACAATAAATACACTGCCCAAAGAATTGATATTAACAAATTTATAAAAATGAAAAAAGATGTTGCCGCTTTTTTGAAACCATTTTAAATTAGGTAGGCTTAAGCAACAAATATTTTTACATGAACAGATCTAAGAGAGTAAAGGGATTATATAATTTTACATGGATATTTTTAAAAGAGACCAAATATTTTTAGATATTTTACATAAGCAGACTTAAGGGTTAAGGGGCCAATTATTATTGCATAATTTGCTCGAATAAGTTTGTAAACTCTAATCAAAAGGCGATATAGAATGGTTTTAAAAATCAAGGCTTTTCAAAATCATCACATGGTTTGACCTAAGTAATGCCAATGCTTCACAAACCAGAAAATTCAACGTCAATACTACTATCGGCTTTCGGTCTTTCGTTCCAAGTTAAGTCATTTCTCGTTTTTTTTACGCTACGAGTTTACCCTTGTGGGAATCAGTTTCAATAAGGTGGAACCCATCATTTTAGCGTCTCTCGAATTGTTATTTTGAATTGTCATGGCTATTTAAAATTGACTATTTTATTTATTTTTGAAAAGGGTAAATATTCTGTTTCTAATACTTTTTTTTTTTCTCAAAAAAATTATTATTATTTTGTCCCGTTTTTTATTTCAAAGCAGTTTTCGTGAACCTGAACTGTATACATTTTATTTTCAATTAATCAAAAAGATTGTTTAATTTTATCAACAAATATCTCTCACATAGCCACCTCCTGTAACAAAATGTAAAATTATAAATAAAAACATATGCCTCATCTAGTGGTTACGAAATTATTATAAAAAATAATTTTTACTTTAAAATTTTTCTACAGCAATAAAAGCGGGTGTCTGAAAACAACAAAATGGCACCATTTCAAAGCTAATAATATCATTTTCTTTAAATTGAACAACCTGTATATTAATAGAGTTTTATAAAACCCCATCCTTTATCTACATAATAGTGTGGTTAGTTTTAAAATCTTTTGTAAAATATTTATGAAATTAGATCGAATATAAATGTTTGCATAATTAAATTATTTTCTAAACGACTAAGAATTTAAAAGAGAAATAATTGTTTAATTTTTGTTAATTTATTAGCTTTAAATCATAAAAGTACAATAACAAATACTGAAATAAGGATTAAAAAATTAAATTAAAATCTTGTCTATGGTATTAAATGTTCAATGTGTTTCTTTTACAAATTTATTAAAACAAACCAACAAATTTTTGAAAAAATATTGAGACTAAGCTCACCGTTGTATCTTAATAAAGGCTAGGGTGTTTCAAAAGGCATCATGGATGAACCCATACCACATGAATTAGACCAAATATCTGACAAGCTTCCAAGAAACGAAAGAAAATATTGTACTCTGTGTAATTATAAGAAGAGAATAAAAACTACATATGTTCAAAAAAAGTTGTAGAGTATATTTTTTCTACGACCCACTAACGAAAATCTACAAATAATAAAAACTATTAGGGTAATAATATAAAATAACAAATTTAAAAATTTTAAACTAAGTTTTATTAATTTATAAAATAAAATTAAATGAAAAAAAAAATTAAGTTGTTTCCATTCTTCGATTTAAACCCTGGCCTTTCGCATAAGAGGCAAGTAGTCTGACCTCACCATCATCGAAGCACTTAACATTTTTGCTTTTATACTCCTAATTTAATTGACTTCATATAGTTTTATTAAAATTAAAGAATTACTTATAATTATAGACGAAATAAAAATAGAAATGCTATTGTTTATCGATTCTATACAAAAACAGCTCATGTTAATGTAATCTCAATAATTAAAAAATGTACTAACAATTTGTTTAACAGAATTGTAACTTAAAATTTTAAAAATAGTAGTAGTTGGGTGACCAAAATATGAGCTGTGATTGGTGGATTTCATTGTTTTGTAGTGTTCCCACTACTTAAAATGGATATGAAATATATTCATTTAGTTGAACGCAATAGCAAACTTTTTCGTTTTGTAGTCTGTGTGTAGATAAGCCAATCTCCATGTGGGTGCAGAAAAAAATATTCAGAAAATTGAGAACTTTCTCCTTATTTTGAAGTCGGTTAATAACAATGATATTAATAAGCGGAATAATTTTATTACAAAAGCACATTTGTTTAAATTTCTGAAAAGCAAGCCTTCGCGCAAAACAATGATGAAATGCTTATTGTGGAAAGGAAGTAAAAATTGTATTATTTTCTTCATAAAAAAATAAAACTAATACAATTAATACAATTATTACCTTATATCTGATTAGTTATATTTGTGTATTTCATCAAAATAAGTGAAGAATTTACTATTTTTCATCGTTTATATACTGTACCAGATAACAATAATGAAATGAGTGTATTATTTTGTACAGAAATGGACTTTTTATGGAAATGTACATTGAAGAAAATTTAACATAATTAGTGAACACATTCCAACGATAATTACTGGCTACCATTCCTAATCTTCTACATGAAGGAGCAGGGAACTCATAATTGTAATAAAATATTTCTTTAGTTATTTATATTGTTGAAAAAGGAAAGACCAAAAAATTTTATCCATAAGTAATATTTCAAAATGCTTAAAAGCCTTCATAAATAAAATTTAAATATTTGTTCGTAAATATATTTAATAAAAATATTCCAACCTAAAAAGTTAGATTAGTTTCTAAAATAACCATAAAAAGTATACCTTTTCATGCTTATTTGTTGAAATTAACATACAAATAGCTTTAAAATCGTTATATTTGACGGTCGTTACCGTGATAATCAGTTGAATCAATTTGTATCTGGTTTAATACTTTCACAAATAGAACATCTGCCTAAACTAAAATTAGACCAAACAATATATCTATTAGTAAGTATCTATATCCCTTCCTTGAAGGAAAGAAAAACTCGAAGTACCAAAACGAATAAAACCATAATAGAAAATGTAAGATCTATGGTTAACAACTGGTTAAAAGAGCACAAACGTCCCTCTGTATCCTAATCGTTGGCTCATAATCTTCCGCCGAGTGTAAATAATAGTTTCGTCTCTTTGTAGTTAAGTTTCCTGTGCCACCCACCGGCTTTTGACATGATAAATGTTCTACTTAACATCTTCATACACCGATTTCTCTCGGATATAGGGACCCTTCGAAAAATACATTTACTAAATCCGGCCTGAAAAAGGATTTTTTTTTTTTTTTTTTTAGTAAGTAAATGTGTTAAAAGTTATTATTATTTGTAGGTAATGAGTTGGGATCTATCCAATCAAACCTTTTTCTAACTAAATCTTCTAGCCATTCCTAATTCGAATTCAAAATGTTTTATGAATAAGCACACATATGTTTTAGAATACTTTTAGAATAGAAAACTTTTATTTAATTATGTTATTTAGTGCAGATCAAAAAAAAAACAGAATAAACAATAATCATAAGATTAAAAATTACAAACAACAATAAAATCATCTAACATTGTTATTAGGGTTAACAAATTTTGTGTGATTACTCATTGTAATATAATATAAAGAACATTGGCAGTCAAGAGTGGGGGGTGCGGGAAGTGATGGCGGTAGTAGCGAACCGTCGTCTGTACTCTCCCACCCAGGCAGAACGAAATGATGGGTCGCCTTGAGTGCTATAGTGAGGTCAGGCTGTTAGTTGATGTTCACGCATTGTTCTATTTGACTTAATTATTGAAAATTGTTATTTTAAATATATAATCTAAAACAATAAAATAAAATACGGAAACTTTTAAAACCTAATGGTACAAAGATAAAAATGTCTTAATTAAAATGCATTACTACAAACAAAAATATTTTTAGGGGATCTTGAAGGAGAAGACCCAGGGAGAATGTACCGTCAACAGGGAAATTAATGGAAACGAACATAATTGTACAGTATACAGTGAGAATTCACAGTGTATACACGTTATTATCTGCTCTTCAATAAATCCGAAAATTAAGAAATAATAACTTAACCAAACTAAGTGCAATTTTTACAGTGAATGTACGTATGTGAAACCAAAATATTGCTAAAGAAATCTGTGAGTAAATTTTAAATTATCATCATAAACTGCAGAAAAATGCATGCAAATAATGTTCAATAAAGTCGAATTTGGCAAATTTCGTCAAAACTTGTTTTTGCTAAACTTGTGTATAAAATACGAAGATATTGTTATTTGTCTATTCCACCACGGTTAAAGTAGCAGCTAACATGCCGCCTGACAATATTTCAAACGATCTATCAAACTCTCAGCTATACGATTTGTTAATAAAAGCCATTAAGGATCAAACAGACGTACTTAAATCAGAGATTAATATAAATATACAGGATTTGTCTAATAAAGTCGAAACTGTCGATACGAAAGTTAGTATGCTCCAAGACAAAGTCCTAATACTAGAACGAAAATGCAGACGTAATAACGTAATTATCGTTGGTTTAAAAGTTGATGAATGCAATCTACTAAATAATACTTTAAGATTTATTGAATAATATTTTTGGACCAATAATTTCCAAAATCGATATAAATAATATTTACATTGGATGCAAAAAACAAAATAAACAGAGCAATATTTTGGAAATAACTTCATATCTAAAAAAAGCAGGAACTTTTTAAGAACACTGCAAAACTGAAAAATTTGGGTGTAGATATTACAAATGATATGCCTTATGAAGATAGGCAAGTCCAACGAGTATTGAAAGTTTCTTTTCGAAATACTAAAAGACAAAATCATCAAGCTAGAATTAGAGGAAATAAATTAGAAATTGATGGAAAGTTTTTTACTCTTGGTGATTTAAGAAATTTGGAGGAATTGGTATCTGAAGATAATTCATCTGGAGGAAGCAGAAAACGAACAGCCCTCACAACAAAAAGAACAGAAGGCAACACTAAAATATAAAAATCGCAGGATCAGTTACTGCCCTCGGAACAAATAAAATAGGAACAAATAAGTTTTAGTTTTTAGTAGACAATACTGGTACAGATACAAACTTGTTTTATTCTAGTAAAAAATAAACTCATTTTAGTTTATTTAATATTTTTATTTTTGGTAATATTTTCTTTTTTTTTTCTTTGGTGGAATAAATTGGGTCTCTACTATGAAACTTAAACGATTAAAAATTGCTCATTTGAATATTCGTTCACTGCTGCCTAAAATTTATTTTGTGAGAAATTTAATTGTAAAAGAAAACTATAATGGTTTTGCTTTATCAGAAACCTGGCTTAGCTCTCAGATAACCAATAATTTTATTAATATTCCTGAATTTAACGTATTTAGAAAAGATAGGGGTTTACGTGGTGGAAGTCTTTGCTATTTATAAAAAATACATTGAAGTTTAAAAAAATTATAAATCCACAACTGTAAAATGATAGTTTTGAACAAATTTGAGTCTCCATACAGTCCTCCCACTCAAAGATTTGCCTAGGTCAGCGTTACTCAAAGTGTGCTCCGTGATGCCTCTGGGCTCCGCATAGCCTTTGTAGGGGCTCTGCGAAGAAAATACCTATCGCTACAACATAACGGGACTGGGCTTGAGAACCTAGTGTTTTTTTTTTAGAAGGTTTGGTAATTTGGGTTAGGGGACTTTTTTTTTTTAGAAGTCAAAAAGAGCAAGGAGTATACGATTTGGTATTTTGGACTGGGGGACCTTTTTTTTGTAGAGGCCAGGAATGAAGGGCAAGGAGTATTATGATTCGGTATTTTCAGTTGGAGGACCTTTTTTTTTGTTTTTAGAAGTGAGTATTTGGTATTTTCGGTTTTCGACTGATAGACCTTTTTTTTGTTTTGGAGGTCAAGAAGAGGAAGGAGTATATGGTTTTGCTATTTTCGTTTTTTCAGGGGCTCCACAAAGAAACATGAGGGACCTGGCAAGAGGCTAGAGCAAGGAGGGCTTTTTTTCCGAAATGTTTTTAGGGTTCCGTCAAATATTTTACTTTTCAAAAAGGTTCCGTCACCAAAAAAGTTTGAGAACCACTGGCCTAGGTAATATTTATTGTCCATCCACCCAGTAGTGACAGTAAATATTTTTACATCACTTTGAAGAGGAGTATATCGTGCGACATACAGTCAAACGCCTTTAACAAGTCACACAGTGTAACTCCTACAAACTTTCCGTTTTCAATGCCATCAACCATGTATACAACGGCACACATTGCAGCATTAGATGTTGATCGTTTTGAACGAAAACCAAATTGATGGGCAGACAAAAAATTATTTGATTCAAAGTCATGAGACAGTTTAATGTTAAGTTTTTCAATCATTTTCAAAAATGTATTTAAAACTGAAATCGGACGGAGTTATCAATGGCTGATTCTTCACCTTTTTGTGTTTAAAGGAATAACTTTTACGAATTTAAACATATCCGGAAAAATACTAGTGAGAAAAATGTTATTGATTAATATTGTCAGAGGGTCTAATATAATTTCAATAGTTTCTTTTATAAGTTTGGCATTAATCCCGTGAATATGTGTACATGGCGAATTTTTAAAAATTCTGACAACGCCAAGAACCTCTTCTTTTGTAACTGGAAAGAGAAAAAATGATGACTGGAAATTTTTTAAACTTTAATAAATTATTAATTGGTAAAACCGGTATAATATTCTCCGCCACATTTGAAAACAAATCGTTAAAGTCATTTGGGGTTGGACTTTCAATGCAGTTTTTTTGTTTTTATTTGTTTCTTACAAAGTTTACCAAATGCTAACTTGCTTTGGATTTGTTATCTGCCATGGCTATATAATTGTCATATGGATTCTTTTTTGTACGTTTTAGTAAAATATTATAGTTTTTATTAAAGTTTTTTAAAGTTATGAACAATAACTGGATCTTTAGTAACATCACAGATAGTTTTTAACTTTGACAAAAATACGTCTGCTCTTTTGTAGCATCTGTAAATGAAGTTACCAGAAAAGCAGATAAAAGGTCAACATCTTGACTTGTTTTAAAGAATCCCCAATCAATTTTCAAGAGAGAAAGATAATTTTCGTATGCTAGAATTTGATAGCCCTAGTTAAAATTATTTCTTGGGTCTTAGTTAAAACTGCAGTTTTTAGAAACAAATACTGCCCTGAATGATCATAAAATAAAGGGTCATATACCCCAACTTTATAAAAACCCTCATTTAAATTTGTCATAATATTATCCAAGCAACTAGATTGTGTAGATGTGATCCTAGTATATTCATCGATAGTTATTGAAAGTCCGTAAGAACTCAACAAGCATTTTAAATAATTCAGAAAGGAATAAGCTCCCTTTAAGTTAATATTAATCATTCCAAAAAACATTCAAAATTTCGTAGAAAAACTCTCTCATTTCCACCGCTCGGTCTGTATACCACAAAATTCTAAAATATCCTTTTCATTATATTTATCAAGATTTAGACATTTTGTTCTCAATTTATTTCTAGAGAAGATAGCAACTCCTTTTTAACATCCCAGTACAAAGATTCCGCTTCACTGTATTATAAAGTTTTATTTTGGGTCAAAATTTTATAAAAATAAATCTGCGGTATCAGGAGTAACAATATATTGGGAGAGATTCAAAAAGAATTGGGCAGTAGTAGAAACAATAATTGGAACAATTTCTTGGCATTAAGACATGCTAAAATACTTCTAGGTGAATATAACCAGAAAAGATCGACAACCTGTATCAGCCTGAGCAAGAACAAGCTACGCATTAACAGGGATCCTTGCCGGGAATTGCCGACTCAAAGGACACCTTAATAAACTGAAAGTAATAGCACATAGAGAGTGTAGATTCTGTGAGGAGGAGGATAAAACCTACATTCACATTCTGACTGAATGTGTAGCACTCCAGAATCCAAAGGCAGTATATACTTAGAAGAATATAAAATAGAAGAGGTCGATCTACCTATCTTAAAGCCACTCCAAATCCTACAATTCCTTAAGAATATAGGATTGGAATTGTCGTTTTAGGCATCTAAACTACTTCCTCGATGCATGAGCGACAGAAGGGACACAATAGATCTTCTAGGTAGTAGTTCAATAATACCCCATATCCAAAATAACATATATTATTATATTATAGTAGTTGGAGAATCCAAATTCCGTTTGTCATCTAATAACGAAATAAAATATGCTTCAAAGGCACGTAACAACAGTCTACCAAACGGCACATGTGCCAATCACTATCCTGGACAAAAGGATTAAAACACATTAAATCTGTAGGCTGGCTGACGAGCTAGAAAGTCAACTTTAAAGGGTGCACAATGGCGCAGCGAGGCCTAATTGCCATAGTTAATACGTTACAGATACAGATGTTCCTTTCAAATTACATTTTTATCAAGTTGTATTAAAATGTGTTTTACGTTTTCTTTAATTGGTATGGGGGCGCCATTTATGGTGAGTGATGGACATCGACTACGTTGTTGGACATGGTTTGTGTCATTTTGTTAGTATTTATTTTTATTCTCCACTGTTTTATCCAGTCTTATCGTATAGGTGTTTAAAACCAAATTGAATCATAATTTATAATAAATTGAATAGGAACTGGCATAACGTAACGATCTTAGTTAATTAAAATATCATAAGAAAATACCGTTTTATGTATATGATTTTATTTATTTCAAGATAATTTAAATATTAAAAAACAACGATTTTGGGCAACGAACTCGAATAACTATTAAATATTTTTGGAAAACTGGTATTGAAAAAACCAAAATAGAAAAATATTTTACAGCTTAATGTCTAACATAGTTTAACATAGTCCAACTCAATTAGAGCAGCTTATATCGACATGATTCTTAATATTCGATCATACAGGGTTGGGATAAAGTATGGAACCAAGTAAATATCTTTAAAAGGAAGAGGACGATAATTATGAAACTGTGCAGGCTAGTACAATGACGCATAACGCATCTGATGCCATATTTTTTGTTACTGCTGTGCTCCCGGTTTCACCGCAAATACCCTCAACTTTTTTAATTTAATGGGGTCACCCTGTATATTTTTGTAGATTTTAAAAGATCTTGTTATTCCGAATTTGTACATACTAAGTTTAGTGGAAATTATTTGATAAAGTATTTTTTTCTTTTAGGTAAATTAAATTAAAAAAGTTAAGGGTATTTCCGGTGTAATCGAAAGTACGGTAGTAACAAAAAATATGGCATCAAATGCGTTATGCGTCATTGTACTTGCCTGCAAAGTTTCATAAATATCGTACTTTTCGTTTTAAAGATATTTACTTGGTTCCATACTTTATCCCAACCCTGTATGTATGTTTCTACTCCATATCAAATATTTCAGTCAACACAACCACAACAATTTCAGATATTTTGAGGTTATATCTTCTTCAAGACATCTCTCTTCTTATTGAAATAGTTAAACCCAATTTAATAATTTCTAATTATGGTATAATGTAAATTAAATATAGCATTTATGTAGCATTTATGTAAATGTTAATTACATCGTATTTCTATAATCTATGCGAATTTAATTTAACTCTTCTAATATGACATCTAGTAGCTGCATTGTAGTCTATGATTTACTACTAGTACTACTACATCTATCACATTATTCAATTCAAAATGGTTTGTCCCGTATTTTGTTGTGAAATCTTCCAAGTCTGTGAATTGAGAGAAATCCAATTTTTGCATTATTCTCTATCTGTCTAAAACAGAATAATTTCTACAAAAAATTATATGACAGTTTTAATTGTTGACTTGCCCTCGTAGAACTTAAAATCTAAAGACCCATGCTAAGACCAAGCTGCATACTGAGCTGGATAGAATGGTAAACTGTATTTCACGGCACATTACAAATCACACTGAAGGAAATAAAGCTTTTTCAGTTATTTTAAAATACATTAGTCGAAAAGTACTTTGCTTTAGTTACGACGTATTTAAAAAAAGCGGAACCGATTCCAGTTCAAAGGTATGGTAA